AGGAACTTCAAGCAAATTTCAGAGAAATTTCAAAAGAACTTAAGATAGTGCCTGCAACCATCTGGACAGTTCTGCAAACCAATTTTCTTGACAATGTTTCATTTTTAGAATAGAATTACTGAGAAAGGTCCAGGAAAATGTGACAATTTTTTTATATTTTCAGAAGATTTGTTTCCGTAAACCAGGTTTATGCCCATACACACATGCAAAATGTCAGGCGTAGCCTGATGGTTATATGTACACCTCTGTACAGAGACCTTACAATTCAAAACTTCTTTGAAAAAATCACATTTCTAAAACATTTCAAAAAGGCCTTCCAACAAAGCTGATGATTTTTCTCTGTAGCCTCCCTTCTTGCTGTAGAAAGATGTGCAATGACTGGTGGATCCCAGTAGTAATATGCACACCTCTGCACAGAACCTAAGTGCTAAGATATGGCTTTTTCAAATTTCTTTGAGAAATGCTTGAATATTTGAGTACAATACAAAAAATTGCCCATATATCCTCTACCACCTTGTATAATTTTCTCTGTAAACCTTATTTATCCATGTAGAAGGATGCACAATGTCTGCCGGGTCCCAGCAGTACTATCTACACCCCTGTATGGAGCTGTGGTGCAGGGATATGATCATGGTTTTGTGTTCTTAGAGAAGAACTTGGATTAGTTTGACATTTTCAATGCATACAAAAATAATCAAACAAAACAAGTCACGAGATAAAATAGAATAAGAGCATACCTGCCAGAGCAGGGAGTTGAAAGGATACAGAATTCAAAACTTGAATCTATTTTCTATCCCATGAATTGAAATCCTCACCTTCATCCAATGATAATACAGAAGAAGACTTTCAAATTTGCTGCTCTTCTGTTAAATTTCTAATCACAATATCAACATCCTATCAAGACTCATAACAACCACTTCCGCATTGGTCATAGCATCATACGTTTCTCGTCTCTTTCTCTTTCACTTCATTACTTTGTATGTTTTACCTTGTCCCAAAGCAGCGCATGAGAGAAGCAAAACCTAATACTTACCTAACCTATGTCCAGAAGGACTATTGATATATAAAGATCCAATGTTTGCGTATCACTGTTGTTTTCTCACTCAATCATTGTTACTCTTTTATTGTGCCACCTTCCAACAGGTGATTAGTCTTCTTCATCACTCCTTAGTGATAACTCAGCCATAGCGCTTGTCTACATCACTAATAAGTGATTCTTATCAGATCACCTCTGAATTCCCTATTTTATTATCTTCCAGGTCTATAAGCAATACAAGATGAGTAAAGTTGGGTTTAGAATGATTATGTACAAACAATCATGATGAGCAAAACTGTTACAAAATTGACATGTTTATAAAAATGAGAAAGAGATAAAATAGAACATCAAGGTTCATAAATTGTGACATGTGAATGAAATAAAGCTTTTAATTCAACAAGAGAAATCCTTCCTTTTGATGATGCAGCTAAAACTTGATTGTTTTTGCAAGGCACATGTCTCACATTCATGTGAATTGGCTGACTGAGTGAAACTACATATTCAAAGAGAATTCCCCTGAAGGAGTTGGACAATGTGATCACTAGAATAGATATGCTACAGTAGAAAAAATATACTGTGTACTACAACTGGACCAGCTAAACAAATTTTGGGTTTTGAGCTCAAAAATCAACATCACAATGACAATATCTCAAATTAATGACTTGACAGGTATCATCAGAAGAAGTGTCAGTCCTTGAGTGTTTCAAGCATAGAAAACACCAAAAGAACTTCACAATCAAAAGGCTTTACCTTTTTTGTACATACACAGGTGAATAGATATACAAACCAAGATAATAATTCTCTACAAACACACCTTAGGGATCTAGTTTCAAAGATTCAATAAGTTATAAAAGAATACATATGAATTATTGAACACAACTTAATGACCTAGTTTCTGTTGAGTTCTGTATGCGGTACATGACTAGTCCAAATCCTGCATGCGTATTAGCATATGCTTGTAGAGAGTTAGGCTAGATATCTTATATAGTTCCTGCTCCACCCGGTCCATCCCTTTCTTCACTATTGAAGATTGATTTGTTCTCGGACCAGCACCACCAACATATTTACCTCGGATTACAAAATCCGAGGTATCCTCGGATGCAAAACCTCGGACAGAAGCTTCCCGAGGTTTTGATCCGAGGTAATTCTCAGGGCAAAAAAATACCTCGGGCAAATACCTCGGACAAGGTTTGTCCGAGGATTTGCCTCCGATGATGCCTCGGATTTCTCAACCCGAGGCATCTATGCTGGCAGTGCAGGTGAAGCGACGTGAGCTGACCTATAGCTCTAACAGTTTTGAAGGTCTACAAGAATTAACACAAACAAAGAATGGAAGTGTTCAGCAGCATCATAACGGGAAAAATACATATCTCAACTACAAGCTAGTTAAAAAATATTAATGCAATCACTTACATACTAATGAGAGTAAAAGAATCACTATGAATACATACAAGCTAACAATTAGTATGCAGGGGAGTAAGATAGCCAAGATAATCCTAATAGACACAGACAGACAAGTCATCTGGCATATTTTCAAATATTATTAAGTACAATTCACGCCGGGCAAATTCAGGTCATGCAGTGCATACAAGTTGCACAGTCCTGAATGTATGCCAGGACCTGGGGCACCTGTCACGCATGCAGGACTCATTATCCTGTACACACTCTGTATCAATCATACCAATCACATGTACACCAGGGGGTAATGGTCCTCGGCCTCGGCCGGTTCCAGTTTTGTTCCCAAAGTTTTGGTGAATAGAACCGCTCAGGAACCGCTGGAACCGGTGTCGCCGATGCCGTTTCGGACACTGTTCCGCGAACCGTTCAGGAACGAGCCGCATGTCAGCCACCGTTTGAGAACGTTGGCTGATGCAGTTGTGAAGTGGTTTCTTCGACACCGGCTGAAATCGGTGTCGAACTGAACAGTAACCGTGTGGAAACGGTCACCGCGGGGCAAAGGCGGTCTCCCCTGTTGAGCGAGACTGAGGTAACTTGCGAAAAATTCTCTGCGTCAGCAATGACTGTCGCACCGGCTGGACCAAGACCATTGTTTGCAAGTCTGAGCTCTTCTAAAGGTGAATGGGAAGAAAGAAAAGGGACCATAGAGTCTACACATCTACCACCGAATGTGTTGTAGAAAGATCAATGATGGTAAGGTTGTTGAGGTTTAAAAGTGAATTGCAAAGTGAGGATAAAGCTTGTGGGATTTCTGTGATAAATCGACCGGAGAAGATGTAGTTATGGTTGCTATAAACCATCTGGGTAGTGATGCCCCTGATTTTAGTGTTTTTTTGGCCACAGGCAGGGGTTCGAGTCCCCGGGGTTCTGTTCTTTTGTTGGTGTGTACCTCGAATACGTTCCTGGAACGGCATGAGCAACCGGAGCCAGCGGTTCCTCCGGTTTCTCACAGAACGCTCCAGGAACCCCTGGTCACGGTTCCACCCACCGTGACCAGAGGTCACAAAGGCGGTTTCCTTCCACCGCATCGTGCGGTGGTGGGTACCGCCTTTGTGACCGAAACGTTGAAAACGTCTCAGAAAGGTTTTGACTAAATTAAAAGTCTGACGTTTCTGAGCGGCTCCAAAAACGGTTATTGCGCGGTGCGATTTACCCCCTGGTGTATTTGAGTACGTACTGAGATGTATATGTCACATAGCTATAAGCCTCTCATGAGGTCTGTATTGGCCCATTATTGTGGGCCAGGTACCCATGTCACTTGTGTGACTGGTGGGGGTGCAATACATGAAGACATGTCATGCAGCTGTGACATGACTCAGGGTGCGAAAATATTTTCTGTTTTCAACATGGCTGCGCAACCTGTATTCACTCCATGACCTCAATTTGCCCGGCGTGATTAGTGATAAATTATCTATGTAAATATATTAGTATGAGAAAATATTACTAATGATATTAATTCACGTAAATGATCACGGGAGGAAGAGTCAAGGAACCAATCCTCAGCACTCACATATCACGTAAAACTCACCAATGACAACAGGAAGTAAGAGCTCCAAGTCTACAACTACCAGTTTACCTAGGAGCATAGAAAAATATAAAAAGCCCGCCTTCTTAGCAAACAAGAAGGAGAGGCATCAATTTTCTACCAACCTGAATTTCAAAGTAACCGTTAATGTTCTTGTTTACCAAGTCCAGCATATATAAAAAACTCACTGTTCTCTATATGTTCCACTCATTAAGATAGTCCCTTAGCACTTCCTTGAAATTAAATCCAGTCAACATACACATATTTAATCTTCACCTTCTTCTTTCCCAATAAATAAACTTCCAGATCCTGATATATCTTGTTTCTCTATTTAATTCATAGTTGCTCAGTTAATTACTTGAATTCAACACCAGCACATTTATAACTTTAGGTCAAATAAGTACAATTTTAACGCAAACAGTTGCAGATGCTCTTCGGTATTATTGGGACCAACATAGATAACTCATTGTTACAAGCCCTTATTGTGGCACTACAACACTCCCACAGAACATTCAATGTAGGATGTATCCAAGACCCAAGAGCATCTGGTTACAAAAGACAACAATGTTAAAAAAAGTATAAAAAAATTGTAAGTGAAGCAACCAATCAAAGAACAGCTGCAAATCAGGCAGAGGTTTGAGCAAATCCCAAGGCAAGTTGCTTAGGGTTATGAATTGCTGTTGAATGAAAAAAACATAAGACCCTACGGGGTGGAAGCTGAAACATAACCACAACAAAATAACTTGACCAATAACATAACAACCACAAAGATAAAAATTCAGATAAAAAAATAACCACAAACTGATACCAACAAGTACTTTTTAAATGATAACAATAGTAATAATAATCTCTTTTTTTAGAACCAGTATAAATCAAACGAGAGCAGATAACCAAGAAACTGAGAGCAACTTAAAGAAACTAAAAAATTGCCAAAATAGATCAAAGGCAACCAACTAAAGCAACAGATTACAGGGAATAAAAATGGGAGGGTGGTCTGCTAAAGAGTCATGGGGGTACTATTTACGTTTCCGACCCATTGTCAATACTGGTACCGACTTCCAGTGAAGTGATAGCCGGATCTCTGGGGCTTGGCATGTACCGTGTATAGGGTCCGAGATGACGTATCGAGGCTGTACCGTGTTAAGCTGAGGTCATGCATCGTGAGTGTTTTCTCTCTCTGAGGCTTGAGCTGACCGTGCCTTGTTCCTTGATTTTAGTTTGAGAAACACCACCATCATCATATCCTACGACCTACAGGCTACAACTTTCTCCAACCCAAACATGAGCTTTCGTCGACACGCGTCCAAACCTCGACCTCTAGATCGTCTTCCCTCCTCACCAACACACTATGCCCCGCTCGTCAGCTCACCGCTCGTAACTCATTGCACTCGATCTTCTTCACCTGTTTCTTACGTTTCCTCGTCTTGCGATCCACCAATGGCTTCAAGTCCAGTGTCTGGCAAAGGATACATGCCTCTTTCCGATCTAATTGAACCTGAACCTGCTAGCGATGACACTGAGATGCAATTGGAAGATACCTTCGTACAATCTAATCTTTCTCATCTTGGACAGCCTTCGATCGGTAATTTCCATCCATCAGCATCTAGTAGCCCAGGTCCTAGTTGGCTCCCCACATTGGCTGCTCCACGTACTTTTCCGAACAATATGATTCACTCTGCTCATTCGGGTCTCGACACCACCAAATCGCATCGATCCGCCAGTTTCAAACAACCTATCTTTCATTCATCACATCGGTCTTCACCATCTCAAACGAGTGATCCTCCTTCGAGCTCACCTACGCCTGGCTCTAAGAGGGCCTTCAAATCCCGCTTTTCTTCGCCTCAAGGATCTTCATCTCCATCCCGATTGAGGCAACAAGCGGCTAGTCGAATAAGAGAGAATCAACGCAAAGGCTTGCTCACGTCTCGCAGGATCTTGTTAGAGGGTTTCCTTCCGGGAGGAACTGATCAGATGGCAGATGGTGATTGGACAGCTGAGGAATTTGCAATTCTAGAAGCTACAGATCGCAAAGAGAATTTCAATGCTCGACGACGATGGACACATGGATTGAATGAAGAGCAGTTGAACCCCGATGAATTGATCGCAGAAGAAGGTCAGGAATGGCTCTGGTTTTGATATTATAGTTTGTTCTATCCCTCATTGATAAGCTTGGCGGACTGCATCGTATCTACAGAAATGATGGGCGAACAATACGACGAACTTCCTCCAGATGAAGATTCTGACCCATCCCAAATCTACGCTGCCTATCAATCGGGCGAAAACGCCCTTAATTGCGACGATTACAATCCCCAGCTTGGCCAACAACAAGCCTCGGATGCTTGGCGTAGTCTGGGAGACATTTTGACGACCTCGCCGGCTATATGCCCTGCATGCCATACTTCAGGTTTAGGACCCACTCAGTCCTCGCCACCCGACGTACAATGTCGATCGTGTGCCTGGAGCTTGAGCTCAGAAACTTTGTCCATCATTGATCAAGAATTTCTTAATCATGGGTTAGTAGATATGTTCCCTTCTTGAAGCGTTTCATCATAGTGACCACCTTTCATTTTATACTATGCAGTCCTCAACCGACACATACACCAGTCATATCGTACAACGAGCATGTTGGGACTACTATCATGTGCTCTCATGCAACATGCGATGAAATCATAGCCCTATAACCTTGATCATCCCAATTATTAGGCCACGCTTTTTGGGTTTAAGCCCAACCTGAGTTTCAGCTTTTTTGTTTATCTGTATGCTTCCGCTCAAACGCGGTTGCACTTCAATCCAGCGCTTTCATTATACACGTTTTTTTTCACGTGCTAGCGCACATCCTGTACCACTTCATTTTAGCAAGTCTTCTTTGCATAATAGATATTCAACCCAAACAATATGTTAATTTGTTTAACACTCGATTCAATATTGACAATAGTATTGACCATTCTCTGGATGAACGCCTTCGCGCTTATATAGGTTTTGGCATAAAAATTGTGATTGTATTATAGTCTTCTTTTACATTTATCAATCATATAGTACTTATAGATTCAAGTTCCTTTTGAGTCTCTTGTTTAAAAAATCCTGAATTCATCTACCTTTTTCAAACTGGCTAAATAAACTTGGGCTCTAGTCTTGGCTTGTCAAAGTAATTCTTTACTTGCTCATGTGCAGATAATGGTACAACCGCTCGTTTAGACTGCAGTCAACTTCTCTTCAAATTTCATCCTTTGTAGGATGACTTTCAAAAACGCGATTCACAAATTGCACCCTCATAAAACTGGGTACACGGGTAGAATGTACCACTCGGGAGCAAACCGCTTGCGACACCACCCTTTAGATATCAAACACTTCTCAACATAGTACAATTGAAGCGAAGTGCAATTTAATCAATCTCAAATTGAGATTGCTGGTAATTTAATTCAACCATGAATCAAACACAAGTGGATTAAAGAAAAACGTGAGCATATTCAAGCCTTTGATCCAATGAGCTGACATCTGCAAGTGATGTCAATGATGGTACTAAGAAGTTTGTCAATATTTAGCACTTATGAATGAAGCAGGTGAGGAAGAGTGGTGTCAGTGAGATCAATATGAACCAAAATTATGTCCGCCAAAAGGAACATTTAAACACTTCTACATAGCATACCTCACTACTCATACAAGGTTTTATGGAGGTGGAATGCCAGGGATCTAATAAAAATTTCTCCGGTCTTGTTAGTATTCTTAATATTTCCCTTTATCCTTCTTTCTTTATTCTCAAGATACACACCTGTTTACATGCCTGGAGATGCATCAACCCGCTTGAATTGGGCATCAGATCTCCTGTCCATATTCAATTAAGATGGGTAAGGAGATATTGAAGTGAAACTTTCATCTTCAACCACAATAACATAACATTGGATATGTATGTTGCTCAGCCTCCGGATTGACATGCTTATGCAGTGCGCGAAGGGCGCGCTCTTCATATGACCATGAGCCTGCACTTCAATCGAGCCTTACGACGCCCGCGGCGGGCCCTACTACAGTCTACGACTCAGCTCGCTGGGTCAGAGTCGAAGGGCCGCGTTGCGTCCTTTCTCTTATATTTATATTCGGTCTCCAGTCTCCACAACTTGAGCGTAAGAACTTTTTCGTCAGAGCTTCCAGTCACTTTGGCAAGATGCGATGGCTTCCTTTGGAGTCCAACCCTGAAGTGATGAATGAATGGTCATCAGGTTCGATCAATGACTAGGTTTCAACCTTTCCTAGCTTGCTTTGAAGGAGCCTAGGAATCACTACTGCCATCAATCTGACGTCTTGATCTTTGTTTCTCATTGATACTTTTGTAAAGCCCTTGGGTTGTCGATCGACTCAGTCTCTTTCACAGATATCTATGGGCTAGACGAAGAACTTCTGGGCATGATTCCTACCCCTGTTTATGCGGTGTTGATGCTATTCCCGATAACTGAGAAATACGAGACTTTTCGCGCGGAGGAGAACGCGCGCGTTTCGAAGGAGCGAGCTGAAAGTGATGCAGATGAGCTTAAGAAATTGGATGAGGTGTTGTTTATCAAGTTAAGCCTTCACAAATTCCCCCAATACCTGCAACCGCGCATACATGCTCATTACACCACTGACCAAGTTGTTCCTTCATCAACAGACAGACCATTGGCAACGCTTGTGGCACTATGGGACTTCTGCACGCCCTAGCTAACAATCCAGATGTTCCCATTGGTATGACACGCCTTAAATGAACCTGTACCTTTGGACTCGAACTTATGTTCCGGGCTTTGGTTATCGTTTTTTCTGTAGCCCCAGGTCCACTCAAGTCACTCATAAGCCGGCTTCAAGGAAAGTCCCCATATGAGCGAGCCAAGATTATAGAAGAGGACTCTGAACTTGAAAAAGTTCACGCTAGCACTGCAAGGACCGGGCAATCAAGAGTAGGTGGTGTGATTTACTCGATCCGCCAGATGGCTCATCGTCTCCCTCTCTTAAACTGACGTGCAGCGTCTTTTTTGAACATGTCGATAGCTTCCGGGGGAAGACGAAGAAGTACTCTTACACTTTGTTTGCTTTGTAAAATCCCCGCAAGGCAATCGGTTAATTGAGTTGGACGGAAGGAAAGACTTTGCCATTGATCATGGCCCCTTGGAAGGAGACCTGCTGCATGTGTGTTTACCCTCTCAATGGAGATCTTCTATTACATATTCTGATCATGTTTTGCTCACTTCGATCATAGGCTGTTGTTCCGGTTGTCAAAAAATTCATGGCACTGGCCGATAATGATCTTCAATTTAACTTGATCGCACTGTGTCCCACTTCCCAATAGTCAGGATGATCACGAAATCGATCAAAATGTATTGGAAACTTCGCCGAAGTCTCATTATATGTTGTACCTAGTTCGTATTGTGTAGTACGTGGGGTTTTCAGTGACTCTAACTGAGCATGTCGATAATTTGAAAAGCATATCTCGTTATTTGAGCTCATGACCAAACATTGTAACACGCATTTTTGAAGTTCACCACACAGAAAACCGCGGTCGTACAAGGAATTAAATTTATGATAGTCTCGAAACTTGTGAGAAGGATGCAACGGTAAATCTAGACCCACAAACCCTACGCTATCCATCAAGACTTCCTATCTCCCTATTTCAGTTCCGCCTACACTTGTACCAAGCCAAGAGCTATTGCTAGTGATATGAGTACTATAAACATCGCTGGGATCTTCGGCAACAGTTCGAACCTCTTCTTCTTCATCGCCACTTACTTGTCGTCTTTCTGGGACAGTAGCCGTGTGAATTTGAATATCCGTCGTTTCACCAGCCTTGGGTGCTTGAGTGGTTAATTTTGTGGTTGTCTTCTTGTAAGGAAACTCGACCTCTTGGCCTGTTGTCCACAGTGTGATCGATTTGACCGGCCCCACATAACGATCCTGACCATATATCATCCAGGTAGCGGTACCCCACGCGGTTACAGCAACAAGAAAGAGAGGTGACCATGACCAGGTAGCTAGAGATAAAAACCAAGAATTGCAATTTAAGATAAATATGACAAATCATAAGGCGTGCTCAAAGGCTTACCTGCGCTGATGGGTAAACCGGTCGGACAAGCCATCAGACAAAGTGCAAATGTCAGAAAAATAAGACTGATCCAAGCACAAGGCCGGCTCAAACCACGGAGATTCCACACATTCCTTCCATCGTACTGAAGGACGTCCTTGTCGCAGCATAAGTATATCGCAACTGGTACGAGATAACAAATCTACCCAACAAGTGGCAAACGAAGCAAACCAGTAAATTAGTCTTGAGACTCAGTTTTTTGAATTCTTGAACATAAGAGGTTGCGCGTAATTACAATCAAATGATAAGAGAGAGTCTGAGACGACTTACAAGAAGTAAATAGCTAGCCGACGTGATCAAAGATTCTGTGAAAATGTTTGCTTTGATGTTGATTACCGCAGCAGCAAGGATACTACATCCAACCAGTAAGCCTGTGGCCATTCGAGGAATGCGATGTTCAGTGCTGACTTTACGCCAAACATGTGCAAAAGGAAATCCACGATCTCGAGCCATGGCCCATGTAAATCGACTTGCGGAAAATAACTGAGCAACGTCTTCAAGAAACATTAAAATTAAGAGACAGCACAAAATTAATAGCGCCGCCGGTCGAGGGCAATGTGCGAATATCAAATCCACTAAATGTGTCCTTAACATCGAGCGATCCTCAAGTGGCGGTAGAGTCTAAAACATGAAAAGTTTTAGCAAGCGATCCAACCTTTTCGAATAGAAACACTTACAGCGGATAGGACGACATTTAATATGCAGCCTAGGACGTAACTAATCAAAGTACTGTAGAAGAGGGCTTTGGGCACATTTGAAGCGGGCTGTTTGGTTTCTTCGGCTAGATGCGCTGATGCTTCGGCCCCAAAAGCCAATGATACCAGAGACCAACCCATGAAGAATACGAATCCATCGCTGTCAAAATCTGTATCATTTTCGAACCGGTTGAACATGTCTGGGAATTCCACCTTAGCGTTGGAGGTGAGGATGAGAGTAAGACAGAGAATCAAATAAAGGCAAATCGCAAAGACGCCAAGGGTGATCCAGAGTTTAGGTGAGCGAGCAGTAGACGTCGAGACGGAGAAGCCACAACCGATAAGGTATCCTGCATTGATGAGAAACTTTTGCCACCCTTCTACTTTCCATTTGACGCCAGCCCCAATAAACGTACTGATAATCAATGAGGCTGTTTTTATCATATCAGCAGTTCATAGTCAGCTCCAAATGTAAATTCATTTGATTGGAGGGCCCAAGTGATTGGCTTACTAAATTGTGAAGTTAGAGCGACCTGAATGACCACATGAGCGAAAAAGAGAAGTGTCCCTATGAGCCAGCTGATAAATCTCGCCCAATCTCTCAGTTGAGGGTTCGCCCGTGCAAGCTTAAATGTCCTACAGAAAGATAAGATATCGGGATATGGTAAGTTGAGGCAAAACGAATAAGAGATTGGCTCAAGAAAGACATATGAATCTTTACCAGGTTAACATTGCTCCAGCGGCTGATGAGATCATATTTCGCATATGGTAAATAGCGTTTCAGGATGATCATATCCAGACAGAAATAAGTTTGACGTACCAGGAAAAGCGGATGACATTTCCGCAATCACTGCACTGAGGCAAATCATCACGGCCATTCCCAACAAGTATCCCCAAAATATAACTGATGGTCCACCCCAGGACATTGCGGTGATCATCCCTATAGCAGAGCCAGGTATAGTACCGATGTTCAAACATGACAACGATAATGATGACCAAAAATTCCAGTCACGAAAAAGTTCTTGTCTATACCCTAGCCAAGCCAGCTGCGCTTGTGTCTCGGCGTCTGTTGGTAAAGGATTATGCGTGTGGAAAGTGCGAATAGAGGGAGCAACTCGGGTGATATCTTCTGGATTGTCGGAGTCCAAATTTTGAATTGAGCCCAAGGACCTCTGCGACGAAAGATGATAGACCGGTGCACGGATTTTGACTGAAGATGATACCCCAGGAAGAGATATCATTGAAGCGGCTCGTGAGATAGAACTCTTGGTGCCCGTAGGATCTTGGACCAAGGATGCATGATTCCTCTGAAATGAAGCAATAGTGGGAGAAGGGCGTTGCGGAGGTAGAGGAGGGCCCGGGGTATGTATTGACGCGTGAGAAGCAACACTGTTCGGGAGCTCGTTGATAGAAAGCGGGTGACCCAAGTCGGCGTTGCTCGGCGCGTGGCATGCTTTGTGTTCGTGCGAAGGCATTCTCCCAAAGCTGAGTGGTTATACCTGATATATATATATATGTGGTTGAGCGAAGGGGCGATACTCGAAGCTGTTCAACAAGCTATAAGACGACCCTAGATTATCCAGAGTGATGAGACCAAGATGTCCCGTGAATATATCAGTCACACAAACAGGTGCAAAATATTACCAACAGCTTTATACCTTTTAAGCTGTGCCTCAAGGTAGCGTGTAGATTTTATTTTGAGTCGATGTGCTTAATTCGTAAAATAAACAATGCTTAGGCAGTGCGCATCCACAGCGAAGAAAAGACGACAATGAGCACGCGTTCAGCTCGGTGTTGAAAAAGGGAGGTATTGGAAGATGATGGGTACCAATAAATGCGCAAGGCCTTATGGCGATCGGCACTCTACAAAGACAAGATGCTTAATAGATTTGACAGGCATATCCCACATTGACCGTAAGATAACTGGATGAACGACCTTAAATGACCCGGGATGAAAATAAGTATCTTGTATATGCCTCAGGCTCAGCGCGTTGAGAATAAAATCTTATGATCTTTCAAGCTTCATCATGAAAAGCGTGGGTCAAGAATTCGCATCAAGAATGCCAGATAAGGAGTATTGCTGTGCATGTACCGGCTTCCACCGGCGAGCTGAAAGCCGCAGCGGTGCCGAGCGAATTCCTGGTATCGACACAGTCAAGTCAAAAAAGCTTCTCCCAAATCCCCCCAATTCGCTCAAGTGTTGAGAGCAAACTGGTCAAGCTGATCATCGTAAGCGCCACTCGCGAGCTTGTAAACTCCCCTACACACGACTACAATCCTTGACCCGGTGTTGGAATCTTGATGCTCGTGGTAAACTGATAGATAGCCCCAAGCTTACATATTTGTTTGTTATTGAAGTTATATTTGCACGCAGCAAAGTCTTGAAGGAAATTCAATACTTGAGTAAACCTTGAGCGGAATGCGGTGTCCGCAATCGCATTGCTCTGATACTTCCCCTTCTTCCTAAGAAGCAATTTCACCGATTACGTCCCCGATAGAGTGGTGCCGCACTACAACTTGGAGATAAATTTGTAGTAAAGTACATTGCGGCTGCAATCCGTGGGAAAGACTGGAACGTCGGGTTTAGATAGGCAGATAAAGGGCAGATGATAATGATACTGCTGGTACTGTGATAGCCCTCCACTTTCGGCACAACGATTTCTTGGGTCCCAATCTTGATTCAATTGAAAAGTCAACTTTACCATCCTTGATTCCTTGCACAAGTTCACTCGCCAAAGCTGAGCTATCTGACACCACCCGTCCTCTACCTATCTGACTCACCACAGCAGATGCTGTCCTAAACACCCAACCCCGCAACTTAATATTTCACGCTGTAAAAAATGTATGACGGAACTGGTAACGCGCCCTCCAATGAGACTTGTATGAGTTGTGTGCTAGTGCCGAGTAGATCAACACCAAATGTGAGAATGATGAAGCCCCCCATTTTGCTCGACTGACTTGAGGAATGACGACAGATCTGATCAGCTCATACATGTGAATCAATCCAAAGATGACTCACTGTGACACCGCATGTCCTACCGTGTAATTTAAGTCCTCAAGAACTGGATTCATGCCAATCATGTTCAAAAAAGAAACCTCTGCGTTGCAAAACCTGCCCCTGATGAACAACTCAACAGATAGCCTATTTACATCAGCGCAACAGATCAAATATGCGCTGATGAAACGCTCTGATAACTCAGCGACTCTCAGCAGGAAGAGCTACATACGGAAGCCGTGACGTGAAGTGACCGCCACCGTTTTTTCAAAACTTCGGTTTTCGGTTTTCGGTTTTCGGTTTTTGGAATTTGGGCATGTCCTTCAATTTTTGATACACACCACGGGCTACCATCACCGAGAACACCAACTGACACCATCACCACCACCAAGGGTTTATTCCACACTCGTATTTTCACTCAGCACCCACCACCGAGCATTTTTTCCACATCTGTCTTTTCACCACCAGCTAGCTATGTACGAACATCACCACCCACCACCGAGCTATCTTTTCACACTTGTCTTTTCACCAATCTAGCTATCACCACCACCACCCAGCTTGAGTATCTTTTATCAAAGTCCAGACTTGTTTCAATTATCACTCACTCAATCAACTTGGTATCATTTACAGTCAATAAACTTGTAATCAACTTGGTATCATTCACAGTCAATAAACTTGTAATCAACTTGGTATCATTTACAGTCACAAATCACCTTACCCCTCAATCAATCAACAACCTTTCTGATCAAAGAAACTGTTGGTTTTCCAAATAGGTTGAATTTTGAGGAGGTGATTGTCAAGATCAACCTCAATTGTTTGAGAACTCAGAATAATCAAAAATACTTGGCATACATTTTTTAAAACAGCCTCATGATTGAAATGTTGTAAGTTGTGTAAAACAATCAATAAGTAAGTGATACAAACTCTGTGAAATGATCAGGTTCCAGATTGTAATCACCATGATTTGTGATTATACTCTTTGCAATTCGAAGATACTTATGTAAATTTTTTGTTCAGATGAGGGCCAGCCAATTCAGCATTTTGATGTGTAGTTAGTGTAAGAATTAATGGATTGATAAGAAGTTAAAGAAGAAACTTCAAAGGTGAACACAATGAGTGTTGAGATAAGAGCTTTCAGAGTTAGTTGTGATGTGTAGTAGGATCGAGTGGATCAATTTTTTGTTGAGATAAGAGCAAGCCGATGGAGCTTTTTGATGCAATGGGTAGTTTAAACATTAGTGGTTCGATATGAAGTTGACAAAGAAATTTAAAAGGTTAACACAACAGGTGTTGAGATAAGAGCTCGCCAATTCGACTGTGATGTGTAGTAGGATCTATTAGTTTAATTTGAACTACAATACTTTGGTATTGATTGATACGATTGAAGTTGATGAGATTTGAGATGTGGTTTGATTGAGTCAAAGTCTGGATATTTGAAGGCACAAGAGTTGAATCGGTCGAGCAGTTTGACCGACTCACTGTAAATTGAGAGGGAGGCATGGTTGCTTTTCAAAAAAATTGAAGGAAATGCCCAAATTCCAAAAACCGAAAACCGAAAACCGAAAACCAAAAACCGAAAACCGAAAACCGAAGTTTTGAAAAAACGGTGGCGGTCACTTCACGTCACGGCTTCCGTAGCTACAGGAATTGACCATACTTCTGCTGTTATGAATATTTGAGCTTTTTGGTTAGGTGTTATGTATATACGCTCAGCCTAGTTTAAGTACATACGAGAGTTCTGGCTAGGTGTTATGTATAAATCACTTTGTATGCTCAAGTTGAAATTGATTTTGCATGAATGGAGTGAAGAATGTTCTATATCCTTTCAACTAAGAACCTTCCAACTCACTCCGAACTGATCAGAATCACGAATTGGTCAAATTAATCTTTCAACTTTCACGATATGGCAACCAACGGCTCCTCTAACAATCCCGCTCCCTATTTCGAATTATATCGTAGATCGAGGTGTGCAGAATCGACTGCTTTCTCATCGCTTCACTAACCAGTCTACTTCAATACTTCAAATGCACCCTAATGTTTCTTTTTGTTTAACACTAGTGTCGGTCTTGCGTTAACGGATGCCTTGGACGAGTTGATTCAAAGTGGTCACATCAATCCACAATTGGCTTTGACAGTCTTGAAGCAGGTTAGACTCACCCACCTTCGCGAGATTCTCACCCCTTTTTGTATTCATTTTGTTGATTGATCATCTTGATATAGTTCGATAAGTCGGCCTCTCACGTCTTATCCACCCAACTTCGTTCGAAATGTCAAATTAAAGGACATTTATCAACTTATCGGCTGTGCGATGAGGTGTGTCGCAATTAGGTCGTGCACGTTATACTATCATCAGTCTATTGGAGACTTACGCTGATTTTTAACTTTAAAAGGTATGGACATTTCTTCTACATGATTCTATTTTCAAGTTAGAAGGCGGAGAACAAGTCGGTCCAGTGAAACGAGTCAAGATTGTAGCATGCAAGGGTAATGCCGGAGCAACTGCTCCTCCTGCGTAGTTCTTCATTCAATCAGCCGGGACAAGAGGTGTCCGTTTTGACGTTCCTACTCTGTGAAACTTATCACTCTATCTCCTTCAACATCGAAAAGATTCAGACAAGCAGGCAGAATAAGCAACATACATTATGAAGTAAATCCTGTTTTCGATTCCAGAAGTGAGGTCCTCATCATTTCATATCACATTTTGCATGGTAGACCACCCCTTTTCTAATTCAAATTGACCGTACATATATGTATCTTCCTCGTATGTTGTAAGGTCTACATTCTCATTGCTTGTTTTACTGACATTGCAAACTAAATAAAAGCTCTGACCTGCTGGAAAAAAATAACGGGAACCAAGATTTGTGGCACTTCGGAACAAATTAGCTGTGAAAGACCTCTGTAGACAAACGACACTCCTGTATCACATGCAAATTAACTTGGTCTTGGAATGAGACTCCGAGTGAAGCATCACCCGAGCCCTCCAGCAACCAGTCCCACTAAACCGCATAACAACAGAGGAAATGGTAAAGTGATGCTTGATAGTTACAAAAACGCTTGCATCATACAATCAGGCGCGTCACAACCTCCAGTTTGATTAGAAAGCTTTTGTGTTTCTCTCGATCACTTAATGAGTCACACGGCAAGGAAATTAACATCTTCACTCAAGATTACAATTCTGAAGGACGCAATACTACTCAATTCAATTCAATTACAATGGAGAACTTCCAAAGCTATTTACAAAGTAAAATGCATCGGCCTTCTTCGAATAATATAATGATACAATTTGCTAGTATTCTAAATAAATTTGGTGCACGCGTCCGTTTCGTTTGAGTTTTATTCATTTTTTGCGCACGCACCATGAAAAGATCAAAAGATAGAAAAACGCGGAAAAACACAGGCACTTCTTCAACTTCTCGAGTGATGCAAAACAGCAAAGACCTGAATCAATGAAAAAAAACAAGTAATGACCGCGAAGCGGAAAGTTAAAACAGTCAAGCTTTTGAATTTAAGCTGCCGAGTTGAAGTCGTGCTCAATTTTTTTATTCGTGTGCCTCAGATTCAGAATCAATGACTCCTTGAGTCTCGAAGCGAGCTTGATCGGTCCCTTGAGTGGGACTTGGCATGACGAAGGGTCCACTGAAGCAAATTCCAGGTGAGGGATGTGATTCAGTCGTGGTAGGCGCATATATTTGAGGTCTGACCGCCTCCCAAGAGTAAGGATCGGCTGGGTACATCTGCAAGTCATGGGAGTAGTTCTGTTGTTGAGGATCTCCAGATACATAAAAGAAATTGATTGCAGTGTTACCAGATTGTGGTCTCATGAACTGGTCGTTGGGCGGAAATTGTGGACTGCACGGTGTAACGAAACTGGCTTGAGAATAGGACATATTGGTATGGTACCAGGTGGGCGGAGAAAAACTAAGAGGAGCACCAGGTGGGTGGTATGCATGGTTGTGATGATCATTCAAGATGGGTAGTGAGGTGGGAGGAGGGGCGGGAGGGGTTGCGTTGAGGCTCGATGGTTCCGATGGACTAGACATAGATGTTTCGAAAGGTGATGACAACATAGGCATGACAAAAGGAGGGGCTGTGGCGGTGAGAGAAGCTGGTTGACCGTCATGCGTTGAGCTGAAGGTACCAGAGAAAGGACTCATACTATCCTGTGGACTTCTGATAGAACTGATCGGGGAGGTTATGTCGATTCGCTGGTTTTTGTTGCTAGTCTCGGAGAAAAACTTCAAATTGGGATGCACTTTCAAGTCAGGTGAATTGATGTTTTCGAAAGGATCAAGATCATGGCGAGAGCGCGCAGTTCGTTTCCATCTTCAAAGAAAAAAGTTAGCGAGTGAATCTGCCAATCACATGCCAAGCGGAGAACTCACTCCTTTTGGGCTTTGCTATCAGCCATTCTACATTGTATGTGATGGTCTGTTCCATCGACCGCTAAGCCGTGTAGCGCCTGAACGAAATGGAGGGCTAACTTGCGACTCACGAGTCTTAATAAACCATGAGATGAACATTGTCAACATCGAGACAAATTCTCTGAACAGAGATGATTCAAGGAGTGACTGAAAGATATTTTACCTGACAAAGCCGACGCCACGATTAGTACCAGAAGCGCCCATGTTTTCGTCGTCGCGCTCGCGCAGAAGGCGGATCTGCATGAGAGAAGACCACAGGCAGATTAGTATCAGCAAATAGCAATGTGGTGTGTCCCAAGAGTAAATTTCACTGACAGAGGAGATGGGTGTGTCTCCGAAAAGAGCAATTAAATCCTGCTCAACCCAGTGATGCGGTAAATTCGAAAGGTAGACGTTGGCGCTTGACGGGTCAGCAAGACTGGAAAGCATTCCTCTCGAAGTTTCGCGCTGAGCACCATAAACCAAATACACGGCTAGTCAGCATGGAAGCACCGGAGGGCAATGCAGAAAATGTAGAAAGGGATTGGGTACAAACCGCAAAGCTAGCCTGGTAACCCTCACCTCGCAGACCATCGATACAAATCGAAGCAGCCTGAGTGCTAGACCAGAGGCAAAAACCATAACCTATCGAGGAAAACAGATCAAAACCCAATTCAACGTCTGATTCATCTATAAGATTATTATCTGGGCATCAAGTATCACCTTTACAGACACCGATTTTCGAGGTATCACCTTCTTCTACCATCACTTTGACACTGAGGATTTTATGTCTAGCAGCTGAGCTGAGTTTCAAAGTGGCGGAAGTACAAAGTTTTTCTAGATCACCATCCGTAAAAGAAGGAGGCAAAGGTCGTATGTAGACATTCGGGGACGGTGCAGTGCTGGGTATATGATGAAAAAGTCGTTTTAGTATGGCGTCCATAAAAATAGAATCTTCATGGTTTTGCACATACCGATTAATTGGTCCCTTTTGATATCTATCACGAATTTTTGGAAAGCTTAAAGGTGGATAGGGATTGCGGGCAGTACGAAAGACTGACAGAAAAAAAAGATAGCAGATGTCGGCCAAAATCTAAGTGGAGCAAATAAGATAGATGAAATTACATTTGGCAGACTGGATTTGGCCTCCGCTCGAATGACTAGATCGAGTAAGGGCTGTGGCGGGACTGGTTGGACTCGTAGAAGGTGATGTCGATCGATCGCCATCACCATCAAGACCACACTCCGATCTTTCGGTGGAGTCATCAGAAGTTGAAGAAACCATGGGTGTAACTGAACGCGAAACATCATCACTGAGGTCTAACCAAGCCCATCTATCCTCATGGTTAGATCGAGAAGAAAGTGAATTAGACATATTAGGAAGAGAGATACGCCGAGGTAAAGTCTTCCTAAGAGAAACAGACGGTGAGGTAAAGGAAGAATCTGAAGACATTTTGAGACGAGATGATATTATTTATCTATGACAGGCGCACTGATACTATTTAGAATCAAATGTAAAGAAAAAAGACACTAGCCAATCTGAAATTGAAGCTGAAGTCGAATCTAACCAATTTCCTCTTTTCGGATGGCTTTTTTTACTGAGAGAAGGAAAGGATAGAAGAGTGAGAGAGAGAGTTATCTGTTAGGATGAGATGGATAGATAAAGGTCATTTCGAGAAAAGGGAAAGCCATTTTAAACAAAAGAAAGAATCGATGAAGAGGTGAATTTTGAACGGTCAAGAGTGAATTCGAAATGATCTCATGACCTCATTTCAAAAAGCCAAGTAACAAACCATCATCATCGTCACTTTGAGAATAGCTGTGAAATAAATAGAAAGGAAGATCAACAAATGTGAAGTATGTAAGCCTAAAGTAAGCCTGATTGAAGAGGAAATTGATGCGACAGTCAATCTTTTTTGATTTCTTCAAGTCCCGAGTTTACCATTACCGGTTTGTTGTTCAGATGATTGGTCGAAGTTCTAATCAGAGTTGAGGTTCAATGGAATTGATAAAATGACGACGACGATGATGAAGATTGAAGTTTGACTTTAACTCGATCAAAATTCAAACCAATGGCAATACCAAGAGAAGGGATCCAATTCGATTCCTTCTTCAACTCATCAGACCCAAAATACATCCACCCATCTGAGAAGAATTGAATTATTAGGATCACACCTAAAACCAGTAAGCAGATTGTAAAGACGCCAAGTATGTTGGCTTTGTAATCGATGATGATTCTTTAATTTCTTGAGATCAGATAGAGAGAGAGAGAGAGAGAGAGAAGGAGAACCATCAGACTTGGTCTTTGAAATCATACCGAGTCTACTAGTTATCGACTCCCAAGATCCCGAACGGATTTTACTAATCTTAGTCTCAGTCTGGCTGACAATTGGACCTTTCAAAAATTATCAGAATGACATCATCTTTTTCAATCAACTTTGAAGTCATACTTGGACAATTTTAACGAAAGAGAATTATCGTGGTGCATACATCAAGTCCATACCCGAGCTCAGTCGATGCATCATATGTCACTTGAAGTAAACAAGAAATTTACTTTCTCGGGGTTTAGCCATCCTATCATTATGAGGTCAAACTACCTTCTTTGAAATTGTGAACATGTATAATCGAAAGGATGGACTATAGTCAACCGTTTGGACTTTGCACCATCAACACTCATCTCACAATTATTCCTAAGGTGTCAGTGCTCGGTTGGATGTTCAATCACTCAAAGATGAGTGGGTTTTTCATTTGAGCCGTTATACTTCAAGTTCAATTAACCATATTGGTTCTCTCCTACGAATAATTTTTATCACCGGATGCCTATTCATAACCGTATAAACACAGCATGGGGGCTTCTTGTAAGGTTCTCGGTAAGAACCTTCACCAAAGCCACACTCTCAGTTCTCACACTGCGCCAAATTGCAAATTTACCGTGGAGTTTAGAAAATTGAGTAGACATAGAAAATTATAGCGAAGCTGGCAAGGGTCAGAAAAATATGAAAAAATAATGGGAGGGCCCTTTGATGCATTCCGATTGTCTGGCATATTTTTTCATATTTTTAAAACCACAATGCATATAACACTACACAAAATATAATATCTTCTGGGCAGAAAATATAAAAACCAACAAACAGTGATATTGAGCAGTCTTGGAGAGAGACAAAAATACACAAAAATATGCATATTGTTCCTATGGCTGAGACCTTGGATTTGAGTATTTTTTTGTTTTTTTAGTGTGCATGTTGTTGATTGTACTAACAAAAGACCTACAAGTTTCTCAGATTACAACCTGTAACACACATTGGAATTTTGCCAAGGGGTGACAAGGGCATATCTGGAATTCTATATCCCTCATCTATTTTGC